TTCCAGTTCCGAATAAAATGAACTGCAAGTCCAACATGTTTTTTTTCTTCAGTATTTCCTTAATAAGGCTCAACCACCCTCACATGTATGAAATGTAAGAAATATGAATAATTTTGCTGATGGACTCAAAAAATAAAAAGTTTAACTTCAGTTCTAATATAAGACTAGACTGTGGCCCATTTGAACAATTTAATTAAAATATATTATCTATGTTAGAATAATTCTGTTGTCTAGATAGAAAAAAAGAAAAAAACAATCAGTTTTAACAATCACCCAACAGTCAGTGAAAACATTAGAAATGCCATTTTTATCCAGAGCATTTAAAGAGGACATCTCACCTGCTTTTTTTTTTAAAGTTTATAAATAGAACTACCTCTGATCTTATTTTCTGTTCTGATGATTTCTCCCCACATGTAAACCACGAGGAGGACACAGATAAAGTCAGCTCATTGTKCAGCACAGACAGCCCCTCCCACCTCATTACTGCCCTCTTTCCAAGAATAACAGCGCAGGAGATATGGACAGTGTCTGTCTAAAGAACTTGGTCATAAAAGGCCTTTTATACGTGATGTTTTCAGCGCAGTGTCTGCGTGCATTCTCAGTTTGTGCACACTAACACCCGGAAAAATGTGAACTATTTCAGCGCTTCCCATCAGAGGATGTGTGCACGTTAAGGTGCATTTGAAGCGGCTTAATGAAGCGTGGACAAATGGTAGCTAAAGCTGCCGCCACACAAGTTTGACTGTGTTTCACTGAAGCAACTGAGCCTGAAACAAGTGCAGGCTTAGGTACAGAGGAAGACCAACCACTACGATGTGTATTAGTGACTTTAATTCTGTACTATTTAAAAAAATAAATCATGTTAGCATGAAGTACATTAGCTTACTTGTCACCTTAAACAAACCATTCCCTGCTTTTGCTTGTTAGTAATGTTTCCACTCCACTCCCTCTTTTTGCTTCCACTRAATCCAGTGCACTACCTCTTGTGGGCCAGGCTACCAGATGCGAGCAGTGAAGTGTGTGGTGGGCTCCTACGGTGCCGTCGTGGATGACGCTGACTGCAATGCTGCCACACGCCCAACAGATACCCAGGTGAGGAGGAAATGTCCTTACCACACAGACACTCCAGAGACAGACGTAAACACGAGACTGCCTGGTTCTTTCAATAATGCAAAYCTAACCTGTCTGATTTGATCTTGTGAGATGAACACTAAAGGAAGTCTTATTCCACCCTGATCATCCTCATATAAAAACACATGGCTGTCAAATCCGAGTCTAAAATTAAATAAACCAGAACTGAAATGGTCCCAGACAACTGGATTTATTATCTTTGATTGACAGAAAATATACAGTTAAATCTTWTAATATCTTATAAGAGAAATTTATTCACAAAAGATACAGAAAAATTGCTAGTAATAAACAAAAAGACCTTGTAATCTGTAGTTGAAGACGTTGTGCTTTCCACTCAGGGAGCTTCAAACTTTACAGGTTCCTCGGTTTAAGCAAGGTTTACGTGCAGATTAATCTCACTCCCCTCCCACTGGACAGTGATTAGAGTCTGTGTTTACCTGGCTCACACAGAGATGCTTCGGTCACACGAGTGCTGCTGTAAATTACAGGGTAACTGACTTTGTATCAGGCTTTGTATCACACTCGCTGTTGTCGCGAACACAAAGGGAAGACAGAAACGTTCTGTGTTGCTTAAAAACATCACGTCAAGAGGAAATTAAAAAGCTGAAATCAGAGACCTCCTCCTGTATTTGAAGTTGTTTTTTTTCTGGTTTACCATAAATGGCTTATTTTGCCCTCCACTCTCTGTCTTCGTCCAAAATATGAATGTTTAAGGCTTGAAACTCCACATGCTCTTCCAGGTGGGAAGTGAAAAATATTCATTTGAAGATCAGAAGTCCAGTTGTTAAGTTTTTTTTAAGTTAGATTTTTTATTTTCCGATTTCCCATTTTTATTTTATTTTATTTTATTTTATTTTTTTCAGATAATAAAAAAAACGTCTTACATATCCAGAGAGAACGGCTTTTTAATGTTATTCAGAAAGGAACTATCCTGTGAGGGTGCATCTTTATTCAGATTATACGTACATATGTTGATCAGTTTTTATTTATTTAATTTACATAATGAAATGATCATTACAGTCATCTTTTGAACACTAGTTTATTCATATAGATAGAAAAAAATTGAGTCAAATGTCTCTATAGGGACATTGGGCCTCATGCAAGAACCGTTCGTACGTACAGATTTGTTCTTAAGTTGTGCGTACGAGTGATTTAGGAGAATTTGTGGCATTCACCAATGTTTTCATATTCTAAGATTTTTTCAGATACAAACAAAATTCGCTGGGGGGGGGGTGTACGGTGCGCGATGCTGTGTCTTCTGAATAAATGAAAATGATTTAACACAGTTGTTTATAC